TTAACTAGAGATATTGTCAGATTTTGGTTAATAACCATAATTGTAAGAGGTCAGTACAGTCTGTAACAATAGGTAATTCAGGAATTCACACAATTCTCAATACAGTAGTTAAATGATTATCGGATTTCAATATTTCATGTTAAATGATTATCGGATAATGTTGAGCATCAAGAATATATGTATAATATCCTTCATACATCTATAATAATATTCAGGCTAAATATCATGGTTATTATTTTATGTACAGTGCTATAGTTGTATCAGGTATAAAGATACGAGGTGAAGCCAAGTATCTTTAGGTCTGATAAAGCATACACTGCAAATGTTTTAAATTGCTCAACTGATGGTCACCAACAACAAATAGTACTTTATTACAAGGCGGCAAAATGTATTTAAATTAAAAGAGATGAATAATCTTGTCACTTGATACATTTGACACCAGGCCGGTGTCTTGTATTTGTCCATAAGAGACCCCTTGTTATTGTATCATGTTTTGAGAATGAGTTCAATTTTGATATTTGTTGTTGATCTGAGCAAAATATTGATTATTGATTTGCCTACTGAGGCACACAGTATTGAACAGTCAATTGAGGTGAGTGATGCTGAACTGCCTGTCACAGAGTATATCCTTACTCTGTGTGCCTGTTGTATGTTGTGAGTGATTTTGAGCGCCTGATGTGATGAGTGACACTGAATTGCCCCAATTGTGGCTCAGGAAAAAATGTAGGCTACCTGCTGACTTGTCAAATAATCTCCTTAAATAATATTCTGGGAAGTAATTTGTGTAATTGATTACAAACAAAAACAAGGGCTTGTTAACAGTATAATGAGGAAATTAATTCCATCTCATTATATTATTCAGCCTTGATAAAGCATATGGAGGCTTTCTGTCTGATTTGACCCTCATGCATGTAATTGTTTGGGAATTCCTGATCATTAAGATCACAACATTTGTTTTGAAGCTTATTGGCCTTTGAAATCTAAACCCAAAGCACTATATGTGTGTTCACAATGTTCTTGGGATAAGAATGAAAATCAAATAAAATATTTCAACTCAATTAAATTCAGGAAATGTTAATTTAACCACGGAGGTCAACCAGGTTATACTCGGGGCATATGGCTAACATAAGCATTTAAATTCCAAGTGCATACGATGTTGACATTCCTTGTTTTTCAGACATTCTTGGGGTCTTGTACTGACCCTTTAACTGTTAAATATACTGTATGATATCAACATTTGCAAGAAAGATCTACTGTAGCAACAATAACTATTAAACGTTTTGATGATCATGGAGTTCATATTATTAAATTAAAGTGATTTTACATATCTGTTTCACAATCGAGGCAGCAATTTCCTTGCGACAGTATTAAATTCATAGTATAAATGCTTCTATCGATCCATTCGTTTTGCACTGTTGCTTTGTCTATTTAATAGATCTCCTTTACAGTTCAACCAAGGTTCTCAGAGCTAATTTGAAGACAATTTCAAATTTATTCAATATTTTTGGAAGAACTTTAACAGATTTTTTCATTTTAAAATAGATTTTTGTTCTTTATTTGTCGATTTCGGTGTTTATGCAATATTGATGAATATATTGTAGCTAAAGCGATCCGCGATCGCACCCCCCTGTATACTATTTGCTCCAATATATCACGTGACAAAATAATCCACAATTTGTGGATTATTTCACCAGCCTTTACCAGGGCCTTTGCTGCCCTTCGCCTCCTTCCTTAAAAGGCCCTGGGGACGAGGTTGCTTGCTCTCATGTTGGGGCCCTATTAAGGTGGGGGCCCAGGGCAATTCGCGTGATTATTTTGATTATAGCTAAATAGAGTATGCAATCCTAGGCGTAAAAAAAAACCTGTGGTTCTGGTTCCCGACCAACCCTATTTTTTTCTGCCGACCCTATTATTTTTTCAACGCGATTGACCGTGCGACCCTATTTTCTCCAGGTGGTTGCGGGCTGCTCATACAGCGTGCCAAAATGACGTCTGTCGTCACAATAATTATTGAACCTAATTGCCTCAATTCGTTCATAGGAAATACGCACCTCTAGTTAATATTGATGTCGGGACTATACTGCAAATCGCCCAGCAAAAAATCGGCAAAACCATGAAAAAATATTCAAAAAAAAAATTATTTCCGACCTACCGCCCCTAATTTTTTCACGATATGAAACCGGAACCACAGGGTTTTTTTTACGCCCTATCGTAAAATGTGTTATATTTTGAGTGTATACCATATTGCTAACCCATTGAGATGATATCAATATTTCAAACATGACTTGTTTTGGCAAGACATGACATCCTTTTGGTTTTTCACATATTGAATTTGACAGAATGTCATTTCTGTGATATATCGAAACAATGCCAGTTCTTTGATGTCTCGAAACCATGGACAGTTTAGAGTTTTCGACATATTGAAGAAATGGCAATCTTTTGATATAGCGAAGAAATGGCATTCTTTCAATATATAGAAGCCATGGATAGTTTAGTTTTCGATATCTCAAGGAAATTGCAATCTTTCGATATATTGAGGAAATTGCAATCTTTCGATATGTCGAAGAAATGGCATTCTTTCGATATATGGAAGAAATGGCATTCTTTCGATATATCTAAGAAATGGCATTCTTTTAATGCTGTGCTGAGTGGTTATATTACTACCTTAAAAGATAAGCGGAAACTCGACGTTTCGAGCAAAGGCCCTTCGTCAAGAGTTAGTAGCAGGGATCGGGGAAAATGCACGGGCTTTTATACTAAGAGTATGAAAGCATCACGTGACAAAAAATAAACCAATTAGATGGATTTAATAATAACAAAGTGTAAACAAAATATGTAAATCGCATTACAGAATATAATATAATTAAAAATATAAAAATAAACAGGAAGTTAAGACTAAGAATTACTACAAAAAATAATCAAAACAAAACACGAGTTGGAATAAGGTAAAAGTAAAAGTAATAAATAGAAGTTGTCAATGTCTGCTATAGACAGGCTTCACTGCAGATGCGGCGAAGACGAAGGAACTGAGAAAAGGCTTGTAGAACACAGAAGTAGATAATTTGTTACCATTGATTGATACAAGGATATCTGAGAATGATACACTGGTCTCACTGATCTCCCATGTGAACTGGAGTGCTGGATGAAAATTATTAACAAAGTTAGTAAAGCGTTCCAATTCGACACGAGAACATGATGCTGTGCCAAGACAGTCATCTGTGTACCTACCAAGGTTATCAGGGATGGGATCAGTGTACTGTTCGAAGATTTGTTTTTCCACAAAACCAACAAACGAATTAGCATAGTTGGATCCCATTTTAGTTCCCATTGCTACACCATTTATCTGTTGGTTAAGCTCAGTTTTAGTATATATATATATATCAGTTGTAGGTATTTTGAGGTCACGGTATAGCTACCACAAAGCGTTTGGCGCACCAACTATAGTAGCTACTGCGTGAATTGTAATACATGTATTAAGGTATATTGTCGGTATTATGTAGTGAAACTGTCAAACCTTTAACTTTTCCTTGTTTATATTTTGTTTATATTATATTGTGAACTAAATGTTATTCTATTAGGCAAATGAGAACCATACAATAAATGTCTTAGTTCTTTTTGGTATTTTGATCGAACGCTCGCTTTATCTTTACGCGAATTCTAGTAGCTATTGCGCGAATTTCAATACATGTATTTTAATATAGTCAAACCTTTAACTTGCCCTTGTTTATATTGTATTGTGAACTAAATGTTTTTGTATTAGGCCACAGTTATTAGGCAAATGAGAACCATACAATAAATCAAAATGCTTATATTCCTTGCTTATATTCCACTATATTGTACAATAAAATTGGGGTTTTCGAGTCGTTTAATACAACATATTGATTGTATAAATCCGCCGGGTCGGCCAAATTTTGGAAGCCAAATTTTAGAGTCGTTTAATACAAGAAGAAAAACATTAATTCAACACGCAAGAAAGTCCAGAGTGCGACAAAAAATGAACACAACTACACCACGGATGTTTATAACTCTACAACGTATATTTATAGACAGTTGTTTATTAGTTAAAAAGTCAAACTGTCGAACCTTCAACTTGTCCTTTATAAAATTCGCTGAGTCCAAATTTTGGGGTTTTCGAGTCGTTACACGAAGAAAAACATATTAATTCAACACGCAAGAAAGTTCAGAGTGCGGCACAACGTAAAATCCATAGGAAACCGGTACAACTCTTTGAAATATATTCTGATCTAGACTGATCACTCGGCCAAAAGACGCCATTTTGAAACTGGACTGAATATGTCACCATTGGAGTTCGGAATTGTGCGTGTAAGTCCATATAAGTTTATATATGGGCTAATAAACGAAAAATGCACCACAAGCATGGCATCAGCCGTCTATTACGTACATAAATACATGTCAAGCTTCTTACTATTATACATGAATCGTGGAGTCGAAGAATCGATAGCATTTTGGATTAATCGTTGCACCCTGAGCCTGCGATGCGCGAACGCAAACTCGATTTCTCGACGACGAAAAAAACAGAAGAAAACAGAAAACTAGGGATTTAAGACACTTGACCTTTACAAAACCAAAGCGGAGATGGTAAATGAATAATATGATATAGTCAATGTTAGGTATTATACAATTACTTTATGGTTTCGGTGTTTGGATGGCCTGATCCAAACACGCGGGAATGTTGCGAGAGTTAAGAAAAGCGAGCGAAATCACGAGCCGATGGCGAGTGATTTTGCCCGCTTTTCTTAACTCGAGCAACATTCCCAAGTGTTTGGATCAGTCCATCCAAACACGGAAACCATAAAGTAATTGTTTTATAAAATAACAACAACACGGTAGTCTTCCGTGTTTGGATGGCCTGATCCAAACACGGCTTTCGACCAATCAGAATACGCGTTATATACATGTTATTTTATAAAGTTACAGTTCTGGTGTTGATCTTTCCACGCAGATAGTCTTGAAATCAATTATGTTATTTACCTCTTTAAGCTATATATGGCACGTGATCTTGACTTACAGAACATGCATGTTTTGATCATAATTGACCAAACCATTGACAATTTTAAAAGTTTCATTTAAATCACCCTGAGAACGAGGCTCCAGTAAGGTTGTTAAGCCGAACTTTGATAATCTCTCCCCGTACGATATCTGGCCAAGTCCTTCAATGCACAAATCAGTACACAAATTTAAACTATCCACTCTATAATACAACCAATCAACCTTTAAACTACAAGTGAACTTAGTTCCTACATAATTATATCCTAGTATAGTTCATATGAAATTAGTTAAGTTATCTACCACAGTAAATACAATATTATATAGTTTGCTACATTGCATATTATATTTTATGATCCTTGAATCGAAAGTCCAGATGTGTTTTTAACGTCGATTTCTCGCTATGACCTTGAAATCTCCTGGAGAAGACACAAGTGCAATACTAGACGGCTCTTCATTCGGCTTTTCGGCTCCTTCTGGTAATTCAAACCTAAGACGATGTAATAACGTCGCCGCAAAAGTAAACAACATAATTTTTGCGAACGCAATACCAGCGCATTCTCTACGACCAAGTCCGAATGGCAGGAAAGCATCAAGTTTGGTCCAACCAACAAACTTCCCTTCAACGTCAAGGAAGCGCTCAGGTTTAAATTCCTCAGGCTGCGGCCACTCCTGCTCATCGTGATGAATTTGGGTTAAATCGAGGAGTATCCACGTTCCTTTAGGAACATGGTACCCAGCTAAGGTTATAGCACGTGTTGTGTTTGAACCAGTGGATGGCACTGGACTAGACCTACGCATAACTTCACATATCGTGGCCTGCAGGTAGGGCATATTCCTGACATCTTGCCAGCGAGGTAAGTCGTCTTTATCTATGACTTGATCAAGTTCGTGGTGGATTTTCTTCTGAACCTCAGGATATGAGACCATGTACAATATAAACCAAGCCAGTGAAGAAGAAGTTGTATCTGAACTAGCAAAAATAACGTCAACCATCAAATCTCGAATATCGTCAATAGATCCAATATCTTTGCTCGTCTCTTTTGCCATATCTTTCTTATAAGCACTGATAAAACTGTCAGTCATGTCACGAATAACGCCTGGGGTGTGAGTCTCTAGGTGGGATTGGAAAACCGGGTGAATTATGGAGGATTTTATATCTGTAGCTCGCTTTATGCTTCGATTGAATTCAGTTGGAAGATAGGAATGGAATGGCAACTTGTGTAAGTAAGTACCTTCCAAGTTTTGTTTTGCGGTTATTTCACCAAATTCAAGAAGGAGCCTTATATTCGAGTGCTCGAATGATAGGTTCTGGGATGTAAGCCATTGCCGCAGTTGAATCAGTATTGCTGACACGATTAGTTCCTTCGGAGAAAACGGCTGACCTTTCAAAGAATCAATCTTCTCCAACATAGATTTTACTGCGTGTCCTCCTCTCTCTTCTGCTTCATTGATACCTGCTCCAAAAACATGCATTGCTGACTTAAATACTCTCCTACGAAATAAGTATGGTGTTCCATAATCCGCGAATACGACATCATTTGGGCCTAATATAATATTAAATGGATAAATGCTTTCGACTGACACACCAACCGCATAATCTTTATTTCGGCCAAATCTAGCTTCTCGAGCAAGCGAGGCAGTATTCACAACAACACATTTTCTCCCTAAAGTAACAGTGAATATGTTGCCATATGTTTCTCTGAGTTTTCTAAATGGTTTACTGGAATTGAAATTTACATCTCGCAGATTTCCAACTAAAGGGTAGGGAAACGGTCCCGGTGGCATTGATCTTCTTTCAAAGTACGTTGTCACAAAATACCAGACAAACCAAACAAGACACAACGTTGTTGCAACCTCCACGATCATCATAGGAAAGTCTAGAAATAAAGGAAATTAGGTCATGTGAAGACTCTAAGATTCTGTTGCCATAATGTTACCATGATGGTAGGATACTGTTAGCGTTACACAGTGAAAATATTTTGGTTGTTTTGACCGAACAATATTGGTGAAAAGAAGATGCATCTGAGACAACCAATTCAAGTTGGTTATTTTAACCAAACTGGTTTTACAGTGAACCAGTGGGTTAAAAACCACCAGACTGAAATTAGTCAATTCAGCACCCAAAATAGAACAACCACTTCAGGCTTAGAATGCATGTTCTATGGTCATGGAATATGCCTCACCTTTAATACCATTCCAAATTGCAAAAAGCTGTTGTTAAAATGGTGCTCAACGACGATACAATTTATAAAATTTGTATGCTTTTAATCATTACTGTCAACAGCTCACTGTAAATTTGGGAGAGTAATAATTTAAAATTCTAGAATTCGAACGAACCTGACCCACATCCCTCCTCAACCCTACCCCAACCTTATCCTAAGGTGTGGGTCAAGGACATTATTTAAGTTACATGGCGGGGATGATCATCCGGCCTCATACGGATTTGAGAATTGGTGACACAGGTGGTTGGTGAGCCAATAAATTTCAGACAAACATCATTTGCATTGCGAATTGCGGCTAAAAATTATCCCTTGGGACATTAAGTGTTTTTCCATGCCTTTGACGTCATTATAAGAAAGGTCTATTGATTAACATCAGAGATACTAATCATACTACGATTAACTCACAGTCAAAAATGTTATAAAATGAAGTTAGGTTCGGGCGCATGAGAGGAGCGACACAGGGGTGGATCCAGCCAAAATTCTGACCGTAGCATTTTCAAAGAGCTCGCATAGATAGGGGGGTCCGGGGGCATGCCCCCTGGAACATTTTTGAAATTTGAAGCCCGGAAATGCCATTTCCTGCGTTCTGAGCACTGCATGTGACCATTAAATTTGTCCTCATTGTATTCATTTCTCAAACAAAAGTAAGAAAGATTTCAAAAAGTAAAGTATCGCTCGCGTATATCTTAACATACGATACCGGCATGATACTCGTATCATACGCATATCATTATCAATTGAATACCGAAATACGCGTATCATCTACGAACGCGTGTATCATACGAATACGCGTATCATATGAACGTGCGTGTCATACGAAAACGCGTATCATACGAATACGCATTACAAACAAATATTAGGGCGCTATAAAACACGATATAATATATACGCGCGTATCATAATTCGCGTATAATTCCAATACATGCAGGTATACTGTACATACGCGCACAAACACTTAAAGCGAAGTTAGTAGCGAACACTATACGGTAAAAACTCAAATTAAAATATTAATGTGTATCCTTATTATTCATAAGGCTTACCTGACTGGAAATGATTCGTTTTATTATCTGATTTTATTCCTACCTCGATCATATATATTCTTTAGCTTTACGGCGGCTTTCATTTCGAAATGCGCATAACCGTACTGACACTGTGGGTTCCCAATAGCAAGTTGTTGATGAGCCAAACACAAATATCAGATATTCCATCGTTCTGGAGCAGTAGCCAATTTCATGCCACCGTAGCAAACTATAGCATTTGCTCCATTCTGATTGGTTTGCTACGTTTGACCGTCAGATTCGACCTTATCTGACCGTAGCGAAAATTGATCATATATGGGCAACACGCTACGGTGTATTTCTGAAGGATGCTATTTTATAAGCTATAGTCCATTGTGTAATGACCCGCAAACGGGCAATTACAAACGTATTTTCGGGCGGGAATTCTTAAAACAATTAACGTTAGTCGTTACAGGGGCGTAGGAAGCGGGTGGCCGAGGGGAACCCCCCCAAAATTTATGGGGGGGCGCCGAGATAGCTTTCGGCCCCCCCCAAAAATCATTGAATTTACTCAATTTACAATAAATGCAGTGAAATTCGAAACTGAAATGGATAAATAGGGCTCTGAAATGGCCATTTCCAAGGATCTAGAGCCTCTAATTTTCAAAAAATTTTCCGCTAGGCGCCAACCATGGTGGCGCCTCGAGGAACTCGCCCCCCCCCCAATCTCGAATGTGTTCCTACGCCCCTGAGTCGTTACGTATTAATGTCATCAAAATAAAACCTTGAAATATAAACAAGGAAAGTAAACAAAATATTGCTAAATTATATTTTAAATTGATTTTATATGTTAGAACTGGCCAATGGAAAATCTGACCGTAGCATATGCTACAGTTGCAACGGTCTAAATCTGCCCCTGCGACATCTGACTTGCTTTTTCTCCAGAGTCGAATAATGCGACAAGACCTGCCGCTCCAACGTCGCTCCATAAAGTAGCAATATATCTATATGTAGGTCTTACCTAATTTGTAAGATCTGGTAAGTTGTGTTTATCTCAATGTGCAGAACTGAAATCTCAAGAATTGAAATTAAACGATATGGAAGTTCTTTAAAAATCAGTATTCATACTTGATCATATATGTGTCTGTGTATTTGCGTGTGTTATTTAACTAGGAATGATAATAATCTAAGATATTATAATGATTAATGTGTAAACGAACATGTATTACCCACATGAACTAAATAAAACAATCAATACTTACAGGTTTTTTCCACCTGAGCTCTCGTCTAAATTGTACAAAGTCTTGGCCTACTGTTATTTAAGTTATAGATACTCTCTTGATTATATTGTCTAGAATATATTATGTTGATTTTAACTAAACCCTCTCACAAGAGACGGAAATTCAATCTCACCCAGTGTCACTATTCTGTCAACAAGTTACACAGTGAACTCTTTGGATATCACTTACAGTAGGCATGTTGGAAAACACGGAGTGCGGAGTACGGAGTACGAAGTCTGTCAAAAAAATGTTTATTTTGCCTGAAGATTCAATTTTAACGAAGCTCAGCGTAAGTGGAAAACGCGGAGTGTCGTTGTAATCGAATCTTTAGGCAAAATAAACCATTTTTTGACTCCGTACTCCACACTCCGTCTTTTCCACCATGCCATAAGTATCACGTGTGTTTCAATATTTCATTAGTCTGCATATCATGCAAATATTGACGTAATGCTCATAATCCATAACATAACTAGAAAATACATGCATGCAGAAACCCTCGCCTTGCTGACAAAACCATTGTATTTTCCGAACATGAAGTATCTAAAGTAGTTGTCATGGTAACACGATAATTTTTAAGAATATTCTTACAAATGAAAAATCGGCTAAAAATATCACTTTTAATTACAAAATTATTAATTTCTCAACATATAGACCAATTGCGAAACTTAGTGGCCGCGCCTTCATACTGCACGAGAACGAGGCTTATTATGCAAAAACAAAACAATTTCTATATTTTTATATAGCGAAAAGTGAATTTTAGGGTTTTTAAAGTGTTTTTTCTTGAATCTCTTTGATCTTTTCTTAATATTTCGTGCTAGGTTATATAAATATTTGTTAAATTTATCTAAACATCGATTTCCCACTATATTTTTACCCGCTTTGGAGAGATATTTCGTTGTTGTTTTAGCATGCGATGGAACAAACCGTATGGAAAAGATCAATCTAGACTTTAAAATCTGATCAAGATGCAAATAAAATAGCCAGTATAACTTAACAAACTAAAATATAACTCTTTCTACCCAGATTTTTTTAGACTTGTGCGAGAAAAAACGATTTTGTCAAAGGATAATAACATAAAATTTCTACAAATTTTGCCCGACATTTACTTTCATATTTTTAAAGTTAAAATCGAAAACTTGCTATTAT